CACTATATACACAAAACATTAGAATATTTCACTGTCACTGACAGCATTTTCAACTAAGGAAGAGAGAGTTTTCTAGATGTCCAAAAACATCTAGAAATCTTTTTGGACATCTAGAAAACTCTCTCATCCTTAGTTGAAAATACTGTCAGTGACAGTGAAATATTCTAATGTTTTGTGTATATAGTGTAAAGTTTTGTGTTTCCTGTGCCAGTTTGGACTCTTTCCCATTCAGGTAAGCCTGCTATCCTCTCAAAAAATCCTAAAAATCTAGGCCCTTGTGCTCTATGCTACACCCTTATATATATATATATATTATATATATATATGTGTGTCCATTAGCGCAATAACTCAAGCAAAAATGATCCAATTTTGATGAAATTTGGTATAAACGTGTAAACCTACATTTATTCGAACGAGTTCGCGAACCAGCATGATCGGACTATGGGGTAAAAATAGGTTTTTCTCATTATGACCCTAAAAACACAAAATTTTACAATTTCTTTCCAAACCATTTTGTAGAGCTTAAAAAAAACAAATAATTTAGTATAATGAAGCGTTGTTGTGCGCCTAATGGTTACGGAAAAAAAATTGTAAATTTAAAATTCCCATGTTATTCTTATGGAGAATAAGTCAACTGTTGTAGTTTGCTTGTTTATGAACATATTATGATCGAATTTGGAAAATACTTTCATTTCTTACTACTAAACTATTAACATTTTACAACAAAAAAACACACTTTTACCCTCCCTGTTGCAGCAAACCTAAGTACTCGTTAAACTAATTCTATTTAAATAGGAAATAAATGTGATATTTTTATGGAGGCATTTTAGTGTAAATCCAATCAGGTTAATGGAAATTCACTTAGTCTGCAGGTTTGCTGCGGCGGGGGTATTTTAAGTAATTACAATAGATAAGTCATAAGTAAACCCGTATAATCCGATTATCGGTTAATGCAAGGTCGGTTAAAAAGGGATCTACTGTAATTGGATATTAGGCTATTTTGCCAAGTATGAGCAAACTCTGCTCAAGGCAAAGAAAACAAACCCTTTAAGAAGCGCAAAGCCTTTGTAAAAAATTCAGTCTGGAAATATTTGAATTTTCAATAGTTCCAGCTAGGTAACTATCGCGAGCGTCCGGCCAAGTCAGCTGACTGAGTGAGCAGTGAGACAAAGAATCTGATTAGAAAGAGATAGAGATGGAGCAATGCGGCCTCTGCGCGAGCGATCGTAGCGGCGCCACGCAAAGCTCATTTCGGGGACAAAATTCCAGACTGACTATTCTCCATATTTCGGGGGCAAAATTCCAGACTGACTATTCTCCATAAGCATTTCGCTTCTTCCTGAGGGCTCATTAAGGTAAAAAATCTCATTTAGGCTGGATTGTTGAATATGATGTACGTTAGATCCCATAACTAAATTGAGAAAATTGATTAATTGTTTCTCTCACCTGTATTTAATTACTATACAACAAGCTAATACATTTAATAACAAAATATCCTAAACAAACTTTTAAATCTTAATTCTACAAATGGCTTTTGAACAACCCTTTTTATTCTCTAAAAGATTTTTTTGAAATGCCTTTTATTAATTTTTAAGTATAGCTAGCAAATTTACCAAATTACTGTTGGATTTAGTTGGTTATGGGGTTTAATAACTTCCATTATTCCAAACGCCTTGCATTTTTCTTAACAATAAGATTATTTGGTTGTAATATTAAAGTATGTATTGTAACATGTCTCCTTGTGTGTAGTATTCTTGTAAATATTGTATATTGTATTAATTAACTGACTATGCTAGTTTTAGCAGTTTTCGGACATTATCAATAATTTGTATAAATTCACAAGACAATAAACACATTTCATTATTGGTAATCACTATGTAGTCTCTGATGGAAGAAGACTTGTATCAAACAACACTGAAAAGAAATTGTGCTCTCACCTGTATTGCTGAGGTGGTTTGTAAAGGTGGAGCTTTATTTTTATGGAGAGGTGGGAAAATTTGTTTATGCACACAGATGGCTAGCCTGTGGTGTGGGTCTCTTACGGGTTTTAAACCCACAGACTATTCACTAAAAACCTCTAATCTTCGGAAACTAGCCTGGAAATTTGTTGCAATTTACTGTAGGCGAGAGTTGAGAAGTCCTCTGAGCCCTGGCCTATTATAAAAATGCAGGCGCTTGCTACTCGACAGCTAGGCGCGCCGGGCGGGTTTCTCATGTTCCACGCGGCAGTCAGGGCTCATATCCACTTTGTTAAAACAAAAATAGCACCTGCAAATACTGTGCGGCAACATACAAACATTGCTGCATATCGCTCTGGCTCAAAGGACTTCTCAACTCTCGCCTACAGTATCAGAACTAGTTTAAGTTTGCTTATGCCCAGAGGGCTCAATCCGTGTCCAGCAATTCATTTCTTACCTGACCTAGGGCTTGGAGGCTCCAAAACAAAGATTTCAAATACTAATTTTATATGTAGGCCTACTTTGTTAAGCTTAAAGCATAGCAAATTCCTTAATTAAATTCTGTATTTTTGTGTGTATGTCTGTTGGTAACGCATTAATGTCCTTATTTCTCAGTGTTTCACGGAATGGACAAGAGCACCTTTGATAGTGAAAATGTCAACCGGAATAAAGTGTTAAAAGGTGAGGTTGATGTAGTACTTAAAATACGTTTAACCATTGTGGAAAGTAACTTTCAATTATAGGCTTACCTTAGGGCTATGGCTCATGGATCCATAAAGCATTTTTTAGTTTAATCATTGGATTTAACATATGGACCAACACGATCCGGGTGGCATTTAATTGCGAAGCATTTATTTTGGCTTGAACTGTCAGATACTGTATTTGCGAAGGTTTATATAAAATAGTTTTGCCAGCATATCTGCAAATATGCAAACCAACTGCTTTTCCTAATATAAGAAGGTTTCAACTGACTACTTTAAGATCCCTGTGCGTAAAACGGGCACACAGCTAGTATGCTATAAATGTATTACTAGGAAATGAAAAAAGAAGCTTAACAAAATTATATTAGTTTTGGCTGGGAGCACATTTCATCGTGGACAGCCGAAGGATAAGTATTCTGTGCCGGGATCACCTAAACAGTAAATGCAGTCGGGTGAACCGGACTTGCCCATCAAAAATCAGCTACGACTGATAATAGTTGTATGTAACAAGAACCTCGCCATACCGATATTACTTGCACCATTAGTTCTGCCTTATAAGTCTGTCCTCTTCGAGTCTCCTGTTCCCAACTATCCTGCCATTGCAATTGGCAAAGGCTCAACCAAATTCTTTCTTCAACCTTGCTCACACCTTAAAGCCATAAAGAAGCACTTTTAAACTGGACTGCACACATCAAGAGTCTTCTTTATAAGCTTACTTATCAGCAACACTTCCAAGAGCCTTTTATACGGAGGATCTGGTATTTCCATCCCAACTCTTATTATCCACCATAGCACCGGTTCTCCCACGATGGGAGGTGGAGATTGGGTACCAAATTTCAATCTTGTATCCCAGTCTCAAAGAATCTGAGTCGAGAACTTTCACAAGTTTCCCTTAAGAGCTAGCCTTGTTTTGGTTCATCGCCCTGCGGAGAACTTTAACTCTGTAGGCTGCTGACTTAGCCTTGAAATTCTTCGAAGGATCTTCCTTGGAATATCCCCCCCCCCCCCCCATTAATGCACATCTGGCTTTCAGACAAGCTTTCTGAACGTTCGAGATCCCAGTACAAGGGTCATTTGTCACAATAGAGTCTCCTGCACGACATTGCCTGGTTACAAGCCAAGTCAAATCAGTATCATCCTCAGGATCAGATATTTTATATTACCAATGCCTCAGCGCCAGCCTCAACAAGTGAAATTGGGTTCTCCAACTATCCCGCAAGATTAAATTGGTTAACTTCTTGAAATGCAGCTTGTCTGAATTCCATCTACGTGGTACACATGATGGTGCTCATGAAGTTTATAAAAATCCGATATATTGTAGTGAGGTCTTTGATGACTCTCAAGCTAGAGATCCGCCCTCATTCAGGAAGAGTGCGGACCTGGCAGTCCAGGATGTATTTTGCCCTGAGAGTTTGTAGAGTGCATTTCCTACACGACAGTCCTAGGGTTAATATTCCTATATAAGCGGTAAATCTTAAGAAGTAAAATACCAAACGGGCTCATTGGGGATAATGTGGAGTGGAGACTAAAAGCTTCAAGTCCCTCCCTGGTGCTTCTATGCTGTTTCGCACCCAAGATGTGTCAGTTGAGTCTGGAAACCACAAATGTGCAAACTGGCTCATCCTACTCTCAGGTGTATGAGATTCAGGAATATGCTGGCATATTATTCTTGCATTTAAGCAACTGTCATGTGCTGTTCTCTTCGGTTAGGCCATGTGATCCATAATTTCAAGGAGTTTTTTAGGATCTCAGGGAAGTCAGTCAAGGTCCCCACCCTAAGTCCTAAGCTCAAATTCATGAATGGTACCCTTGTCCCCAAAGCCCTTATTGACATTCCCAGCAAAAGCCAACATTTCATCATATTTCAAGAGCTTTAAGAGCTCTAGGTACATCTGATTTACTTGATGACAGTCTTTGTATCTTACGGTTCGGCCTTAGTCTTGAAGCTCCCCAAAACTTCAGCAATAAACCACCCCCTCTCTGAGGGCTTTATCAGTATAGCTTCAGTCCTGGGCTTCCTTTGTCTGGGTTTCTTTAGTACAGAGGGGCCCTTCCTGGAGGAGCAGGGCCAACTAGGAGGCGTCATCTGAAGGGTTTAGATCTTTTCCTCAGAATATTGGCCAACTTGGGATCCCTGATGGGTGAGCTCCTTGTAAAGGTGGAGGTAAAGTTTTATCATACATTAATTACTATGAGAAGAATAGAAGATTAATGAAATACTTCTCTCACCTGTATTGGTATCCTACCCCGCAGTCTCATACTGAGGTGGTTTGTCACGAAGATGGAGAACAAATTCTATCACACACCACTACTTAGAAAATTGATTAAATGCATCTCTCACCTGTATTGGTATCCTGCTCTGCAGTCTCGTCCTGAGGTGGTTTGTCGTGAAGATGGAGGTAGACTTGTATCGCACATCTCGCAGCACGCAGATAAAATGGATGTGATCTTAAAACGTCTTCTAGCCGCAGGAGTCCCACATAAGATCTTAATGTCATCTTTCGCATGCAGTATGTGTGAAAGTCAAACTGGTCTTCTATTATTTCTGAGAAGTGCTAGAAAGAAAAAAAAGTTCAAATTAGTGTACAAGTTTATTTTAAGGAAAAACTCTAGACCAGTATTTTGAATTGTAGAATAAGGAGAATAGGAGCTAGCTTACCTTGAAGAAGTGCAGGTAGGTCATAGACCATACAGAAAACACAATGCTGACAGTGTGTTCAGTGTCTCTTCTGTTTATGGCCTACCTGCACTTCTTCAAAGTAAGCTAGCCGCTATCCTCCTTATTCTACAATTCAAATTAGTATACAAGTTTGACTGAGCATGAATTTTTAGTGACATTAACAAGTCATCAATGAGGTGATGGTTGTGTTTAATGTAGGTTAAGTTTCTGAAGTACTGAGCTATGAGATTTTAACTCCTTTCAAAATCTCTAGATAGAAACCTAAACTGACAGTTTAGTGTGTTATGATTAGAAGCCCACAGAAGTATTTTGATAATTGACTTACAAATTAAGTCTACTCACTGAGGCTACTGATTAGTGACCTCAAGCTTCATCTAGTTCATAGTTTTACAGTAAAATTATATCATGGAAGTTGTTTTTCAGAATTTAATATCCTAAAAATGTTAATAATGTTTGTTTATGTTTACTTACCCTGTCTACTTCGTGGCACTTTTTTAAAGCTTCTCCCCACTTCTCTAACCTCTGGTAGGCAAGGGCACACTCTGTTTGGAACCACATGCATTGCATCTCATTTAGATTTTCCATTGCAGACACACCTTCCTAAAACAAATGGGGACCACTTTGATAGAAAATCCTTATCTTCCACCACTATCTCTGAAATCATTAATACAACTATGCAAACAAAGAGCTTGTCAATTAGCATATCTTTCCAATTTTTTTTTATCTAACTCCAGAGAATTTACGTAAAGTACAACAGATTCAAGTAAAGAAATGTGTTTGTACTTACCCTAGTAAACTTGGAACACGTTTCCTCAGCCTCTTTGATTAAGTTGGCCCTCAACATGTACTTGGCACACTTGGAGTTGATGTACCTATCAGCTGTGTCCAGACCTTGAGCCTCGTCTAGCCACTTGAATGCCTCAACTACATCTCCTGCATGCTGAAAGATGACAAAGTTGGTGTAATACAACTTGTGTATGAATATTTAACCTCAGAAACTTTCTCTATCAGATAAAGTTTAGTTTACACAGTAGCCCTAGTTGTGTGGTATTGGCCAAATGCATTCAAAAGACATATCTACCACAAGCAAACAAGTTAATTAAACAAAGCAAATCAAATCTAATCTTTATTCATTATTGATATTTACATGAATACATTGAATAGAGTCAAATCTTATTTTCTAATTACTAAGGGATGTAACAAGAAGATCATAGAGGCCTAGGTTTTAAGGAATTTTCTAAGGATAGCAGGCTTGCCTGGATGAGGAGGAATAAACTGTAGCTAAATAAGAAACACAAAACATTAGATTATAACCAAAACTAAAGTATTTAACTGTTACTGACATCATTTTCAAAACATTTTTATTAGAGTCAGTGACAAAGAAATATTATAATTTTTTTGTACCGTATATTGTACGGTTTTCTGTTTCTTGTGCCAGAGTCAATTTTATCCCATTCATTTAAGTCTGATTTCCTCACAAAAAAACCTGAAAAGTTTATTATTTACTTTTTAATGAGAGTCGCGCATCTAGTAGCTAGCCAGCAATAATAGTTTTTTTTTGTCTAGGCTTATATCTCTTGTCATGTAAAATTCATGATATAGATTTTCAAAATGTATCTTTTAGTAAAAAGAACCGTAGTGGTTTAGATTATCCTACAGAACATCACATCACCGACTTTATAGTTTTCAGAACTAAAAAAACACATACAAAATACTCCCTGACTTTAGCCACCTTCTATACACTTAACTGGTAGGCTATTGGTTGATGCCAGCAAAGCCTAGCACACTACACTGTATCTCAGAAAAAAGTGTTCCCTAATTTCTTCTGTGTGGTAATGCAAAGACAAACGTCAAAATAAACAGTGCAGTGACAAAATAAGTGATAATTATCATAAACTAGGGTGAGTATCAAGGCTATTTCAATACCAACGGCTTTGCACAAGAGACGACAAAGATGCTTCAACATGTATAAGGTTTGACTAGCTGAAGGCTTAATTTGTAATGCATACCTTGTATATCCTGCCTTTGGTGACGAAGAGCTCTATGAGTGTAGGTGTGTGTTCAATGGCTGCATTGATGTATTGCAGAGCCTTGTCTGTGTTGCCCAAGAAGTCCCAGTGTTGTGCCAAGTAGTAATATACCCACAACAGAGCAGAAGCAGGCTCCTTAGGCTCGTTTGTTTCTGTACAAAATTAGTTCTCATTGGTCTAATTTGTTAAATTAATAACGAGAGAGTTGAGTAGTAGAAGCTGATAAAGGGAAGTAAAAGATGAACTCTTATAGGGAATTTTTCATAAAGAAATAGGCTATTACCGTAGGTCTCATGGTATGACCAATTAATTGTTTTTCTATTATTTTATGTCCCCAGAGGCCAAAAATACCATCCTTTCAAATTCATATATACAAGGGACGTTTTAAAGTATGGGCCGTTTATGTGTGTAGCTCCGTAGTTTCAGTGTATGCTACAATTAAGCGGTGAGCTGCAATACTGGCATTGTTGGTGAACGGAGTGTCGCCATTTGCAAATGTGTAACTGACATTTATGCTTTCCTGAGTGTTAAGACAATTTGACAATTTTTAAAATTATTGAATCTCCTGCCACATGAGGGATTAGGTAAAGTGTACTGTTAAAATTTTACAAAAAAAAACACTTAACTTTTCCTGGGCGTTGGCCATAAATATACGACAAAGACGCGTCAAATCTTACGTCAAAACATGTTAACATCATTTCTTGAATTATTTTAAAGTTGTTTCTTAGCCGTCAACAGTTACCTTAGGGCATTAATCAATATTATTGTTGCCATAACTTTTTTTATTTTTCAACTAAATTTCTGATTGGTGGGTTGGCAACACTGAACTCGTAACATCTATTGTTTACAAAACTGGCCGGCTGGGTTCAAAATATTCCGAATCAATATTTTTTATTGTATTAGGATTAGATAGGCTTAAGTCTGTTTTGTTCTTTGGTAATAATGAACAGTTAATCAAAGATAAATGTTTATCCTAAACAAAATTGACAAGCCTTAGAGATATATATGCAGATCAATGCATTCCTTAGTGAGCGTTGGACGTATACCTACGCCACAACATGGTTATAAAACTTGTAAAAAAATTATTTTGATAAAAAAGCTGTCTATAATCAACTATTTTTTTAACCTCAACCAAATTATTGATCGGGTTGTGTGAGTAAGGCTCCGCCCTGCAGCCGCCGTTTGGGAAGGGTTAATTACCTTCCCTGGTGCATCATAATACCTAAGTAATCATCAAGCCTTATGTTATTTAAATAGAAAATAAATCTGACGTATTAAGGAAATATTTTTGTGAAAACTCTATTATATTTATATTAATGGATATTTTCCTAGTCAGCAGGTTTGTTACTGCAGGGGTATTTATACTTTTTTAGGGGAATATTAGGGGAAATATATAGTGATCATAATCTATAAGTATAAAAGAGGATGTTTGTATATTTGTTTGGCAGTGATAAACTCAGACACCGCTGAACCGATTGCCACGAAACTTGGTACATACGTGTAGAATTTCATGGAATAGGTTTATACACCATCAATTTCGTGATCCGTCATATCGGCTCCACCCCAGTGGCTCTGGAGTTTCCCATGTTAACCTTATGAGAAATGGAATTAATGAATCTTAACAGCTGTTTCAATTAAACAAGTTGGTTCTGTTCTATGATGTTCAATAGCATTAAAGTTACAAGGATTACCAACAGGGTGCAGCACTATTATTTCTTTTACATTTATGACAACAGCTAATTTGTAACCAAAAGGTGAGTGAGCGTAGCGAACGAACTTCAACCTGTAGGCGAGTTAGCGTAGCGAACGAGCTCCAACCTAAAGGTGAGTGAGCGTAGCGAACGGACTTCAACCATTACGTGATTGAGCCATGCGAACGAGATCATCTTTAAAATTAAGAAGTTAAACGGGGCAACGCCCGCGGGTTACAGCTAGTCATGTATAAAATATCAAATTCACTGTGAGAGGTTTCACTCTTACTGTGAAAGAGCATCCTCAGTGGAAAATGGTACATACAGACAATTTAGGTAAAACCTACATGGGTAAAAGTTACCTATATTTTTTTTTTATTACATCCAATCAATCACTGATCAATTATTTGATACTGATTAAGAACCAAGATTTTTTTAGGAATTTAGCTCAGCTAGCTAGCCAAAGAAACTTTTAGTTCAAGTTCCAATAGGAAACTTCACAGAACATTAGGCCTACATAATGTGTTTTAGGTTAAGAAACAAAAATCAAAGGATCATGGTTAACCTCTCTTTGTTCATTTACAACTGCCCTACCCTGCCACGATTGGTCCTTGATAAAATCGATACAAAAAATTACATCAAGCACAAACTAAGATATTATGACTCACCGTCCAAACTGAACCGCCCATTTTTACTGAGGGCTTGGACGTATTGCTCAGCTAGTTGTTGGATTACTGCCACCTTTTCCTTATCCTTATAAAGAGACCTGAGGTCCACAAACAGAGGAGGCACTCCTTTATGTAAGCCTCGTCTCAGGTACCTGTCTACCTCCTGTTTGAACAGTTCACCTGCAATACATACACATATCTTGTCAGTTCTGATCATTACTAATCCACCTGTTCTCATTTTAAGACTCTGTAAAGAAATTACTATTACATATAAGGAAGACTAGTTAAATAAGAAGTGAATTACTACATTTTGAAATGACTATCGTCTTCTAAAACTTTTTGAAATATAAGACAAGACATAACTCTGGAAATTATAATAACCTGCAAATTAGTACTTTCTATGAATTGTTATATTTGTCGTTTCTACCTTGAGCATAGTTCAAGTAGAGACGTGCCGGAGCCAGTGCCTTGGGATATACCTCTCTGTACTCCGCCAGCAGTGACAGTCTCTCCTCAGACTTGTGTAGTTGTAGAGCGTCTGCTAGACTGCCGTAGTAGCCTGTGTTCTCAGGGTTACGCTGTAATAGCTTCCTGTACACCTCCGCAGCACTACTGAACTTGCCTAGCTTCAAGTAAAGGCTGCCTGAGAAACATCAACAGACTTCAATGAGTTCAATGGCTTTGATCATGGTCACTGAACATTCTCAACAATCGTTAATTATGTCATTTGGTAGAAAACCCTACCAGGGGTCCATAGTTATTTATAAAGGGAGACAACTGCTTGCGTTTCAAATATGTAGGTCTTAGTTGAAACACAAAAAACGCTAAAAATATTGACAGACCAATATTTTAGTAAAAAGGCCCTTTATCAAGGATGGCTTTTTTAAAACCACTTTAAATACATTATCTATACATTTTTCCATATTTATCGATAATGCCTATACAGGGATTACTCTATTAAAATCAGGTAGGGTAGGCATACGTAGTAGAAACAAAAATAGATATTCTTACATTAAATTACCACCAGAATGTTTGGGTTTATTCTCAAAAAACTGACTGCAAAATGTTTGTAGCAAATTTCTCACCTAGGGAATAATCTATTACTGAAGGTGTTTTGGGGTAACCAGAGGCCAAAAACAACCTCAGTTCAAATTTATATATAAGTATTTATTGATGTTATGTGTCTGTTACCACAATAACTCGGGCAAAACTGATCCCATTTTCTCCACAAGAATAACATGAGAATTTTACATTTACACTTTTTTTTTATTTTCTCCTTATTCAGTAGGCATACAACAACGCTTCAATGTACTAAATTATTTTTTTTTAAGCTCTACAAAATGGTTTGGAAAGAATTTACAAAATGTTTTTAGGTTCAAAAATGGGATAGATAAATTTTCCCCCATAAATCCCAGTTCCTATTGTCCGATCATGCTGGTTTGTGAACTTGTTTGCATAAACGTAGGTTTACACTTTTGTATTTAATTTTATCAATATCGGATCTGTTATGCATAAGTTGTAGTGCTAATGGACACATTTGGTACAGTGTTTAAAAAAGGTGGATATAATTTACGTAGTGATTCCTTGGGTCAAAATAAACAGGAAACCTAGAATTAAACTTTTTCCAAAATCGCTTCATTTACCAGATTATATTTCGAATTTTAAATTTCTTATGAAAGGACACAAAGTTCAAAAGATTGACTAAGAAATATCTGAAATGTGAGGGTTTATAGTTTTGTAAAATGGGGTAGAATAAGGCTAAGCTTGTCAGGTTTGCCTCATTTTACAACTTAAAACCGTGATATTTCATATATTTTTTATAAATAACTTCTTGATCAGAAGTAGGCCTACATGTTACTAAATTTACGGTAAGTAAATAAAAGACTCGCCTTTGCCTCGATGGAGAATCCGCCCCCAACACTTTTTTCATAAAATCGGCCACTTTTAGTCATTTCTATTTAAAAAAATAAAATGGCCAATAATTTAAAATTTAAGATTGCACCGGCAGATGGTGATTTATGACTAATCACACATGGTTACTGGATTAACCCCCTTCCACTGTCGTTTATGTTTGGTGTAAGGGATGAAGAGGATCTTTTATTACTTAGCTTGACAACAAACCTTTAGGATCAAAACTGTGCAAAACTTGAGAAAACGGATCGTTCAACAGAGAGGTCTAACTTTAAATGTTGTTGTAATAGGTATTTAATTTAAAATTTTTATTTGAACATTTATATTGTTACAGTACTACCTAGAGAATGTACAAGTGCCGTTTGACATATTAGCCAAAAGAACTTATAGAACACATTATCAGTTATCCAACTGGACCGCTTATTATTAAATTTTTAAGCCACACAGGCCTATTTTAATTTAGTTATTTTGTTACGCCTTTATTTTATCTGTCACTATAAAAAATCATTTGCGTATATTTAAGTTAAAATAAATGTGTACCTATCTAAATGGCAAATGGGGACATCAGAGTATGTAGGGTAAAGCATTAATGTATGACTAAAATATTAGATATCCCATTATGTTTAAGTCTAAAGTGAAAATAATTAGCCTGTGTTTAATACATTACTCTAACAAAACTTCCAAGTACCGTAGAGTCTTTATTTTATTTAGGTAAAATGATTGACAATTTTTTTTTTATAATTGCAATATCACCAGGCTGCATAAACATATAAACAATTCATTGCAATGCACTCTTTTTCAAGTAATTTCATTAGAGGAATGTTTGAACAAAATAAAATTAACGTTAAACTGATAACCTTTCAGCTATATATCTACTTTGATAATCATGGAACTATCAATCTTTTATCATAAAAGTTGTTTTACTAAAATGTAATACTCTGCTCAAGATAGATGTAATTCTAACTCACAACTGTTCATACCTATAATCAATGATGCAAGTACAATTAGGTTTGCATTGGAATACTGCGCCTACCGTAATATGTGTACTTAATGAACTACTTGATGAATTACTGATGAATTACTTGATGAACTAGCAGCAAAAAAGTGTTTCAACGATTTTGTCCAAAAATTATAACAAGTGATTAGTCAAATATTTTCAATCCATTGGCATACCGAAATTGACCTACCTACACAGAGGAATTCCTATTTCTTAGTTCTTTTAGTGAATTACAAAAGCAACAATAATATACTTTATTCATTATTATTTTGTAATAAGTTGTTATCTTCCTTCTCAGAAACATAGGAAGACGATTCAAAATTATCTTTATACCAGTCTATTACACCCGATCGTAAACAAGACAGCCACGGCATTTTGACAGAAAACATACCTCAAATCTCTAACTTGTTGCAAAAACAGGATATGCAACCAAAATACACACAATAACTATTGCAGGTAGACAGAAAGAAATTATTGACCTGACGAGTGCTGCGATCCCTCGGAATAAGTTTGAACTACAGTAGTAGCAATGTTTCAGGACAGAACAGTTCCTTCTAGGAATGCCAGGCTTATTAGCCAGGCGGAAATGTTTGGTACATATGCAGTGGGTTAAAATAGCTTTAAAATTAATTCCTTTTGTCCAAAGTAAACTGTACCTGATAGACCTATGATATATTTGAAACTGGGATTTAAAAAAAACTTTAAACCAACAACAAAAGTTAAATTTGTAATAAAAGGCTGCAATATTATTTTAATGGTTAACTTTGTCGATCGTTGGGCTTGTATGAAATTATTCTAAAGAAGAATACCGATTGTCCACAAGCCAATCCAAAACTATTCTACCTACATTTATCCCCTGACTAGTGATTATAAAAATATATCATCTGATTTATCGTTTTTAATAGTCAATTATTCAAAAACATGTCACCTACTGCTGTTATATCAGTTTTGACAACTAAAGCTGTAACCATGTCAGTCAACAATGATAAAACTTCTTACCATGTATTTCTTGTACAGAGAGTTCATCACATATTTCAGTCTGAAACTGATCTAGATGTCTGAGAGCATCTACTAGGGCCCCGGACTCTTGGATCACCATGTTTTGGTACAGCAACAACTCACTATGTTCATAGTCAATTATAGTCTGAAACAATATGACACAGGTCAACACTAATGGCATTATATTATACATGTTTATTATATTATGGAGAAAACGTTCTAACTGGTTTTTGTTGGAATCTGAAATCCATCAATCTCAAGAAAAGATTCCAAATTTGATCGACTGTATTAGGCATAGAGAATGGAATCTCACATTTAAATCCACTTACCACCAGTGTGATCGCAACCCTTGTGTTTGTCAAATAGTGCACAATTCTGGCATTAACAGTTTGGAATTGGATCATTTTAGAATTGACTAAACTGTTAATGTTGGGTTTTTCTCTGTACCGGGCCTTTCAGAAAATTTCCCATATAGGGAATAAGGGTGTAGGGACTTTCCATAGTACTCGTGGTAAGACCTGGACCCGGGACTGTTTTACTTTTTTGTTTTGAGGTCAATAGCAATCCAGAAACACCATCCGTTCAAATTCATATATATATCTGTCCGTTAGCAGGATAACTCAAGCAAAAGTGATCTGATTTTGATGAAATTTTGTATAACCGTGTAAACCTACATTTATTCAAACAAGTTCGTGAACCATCATGATCGAACTATGGTAACGGGGTTTATGGAGGGGCTTTATAGGGTAAATTTTTTTTTCCCATTTTTAACCCTAAAAACATAAAAATTAGTTTTTTTCCCAAAACATTTTGCAGAGCTTAAAAAACATAACTATTTAGTATATTGAAGCGTTACTATGGGCCTAATGGTTACAGAGAAAATTCCAAAAAATTAAGAATTTAAAATCCATATGTTATTCTCATGGAGAATAAGTAGCCTACTGTTGTAGATTGCTTGTTTATGAACATATTATTTTGATCAAATTTGGAAAATGCTTTAACTCATACCTAAACTACATATTAAAATTTAACAAAAACACTTTTATTTTTTATACCTTCCCTGTTGCTACTCGTTAGACAGTACTAGCGTTAAACTAATGCTAGGCCAATTTAAATATAGGATGAATGTAATATTTTAAAGGAGATATTTAATTGTAAATCTAATCATTTGCTTGGTCTGCAAGTTTGCTGCGACGGAGGTATTTTGAAGAACCAGTGGTGTACAAATACTAAGCATTGGCTTTCAGTACCAACACACCACTAATATAAATTTAATTTAAACTTTCAACGTAGTTTAGTTCAGTTTTTCTCAAAACACCACTGGTAAAAAATTTATTTAGTTAACTTTCAACGTAATTTAGTTAAGTTTTTCTCAAAACACCACTGGTACAAAAATAAATTTATTTAACGTTCGACGTAATTTAGTTCAGTTTTTCTTTTCAATCTCATTTATTTGCAAAAATGTCATAATGTACCAATTTACAAGTTTACAAATTTACCAGATGGAAGTGAATTTATGGTATAGCACGAAAAAGCTTTAAAACTACGGGGCCCATGTCGATGCGCAAATGAAGATTGAAAGAGGACGTACCCACCTCTTAAAAAAAGCAAGTCATCAAAACAACAGACTAAAAACACTGATCAGATGGATTTTACTACCCTAAGTTACAACAAGATAACATCTTAACATAATAACTAAATTAGATACCTGAAGTAAGGTCTTTCTAAATGCATTTAATATCTTCAAGGCCATATCATAATCTTTTAGAAGATGATAAGACATGGCAAAACCAATCCAAGATGCTCGTTGAGTTGGTCTCAACATGAAGAGTTGATATCTTGTGTCCTGACAAAGAAACATAGTTACATTATTATTGATCAGTAGTACAAAATTTCAACATAAACATAATATGTTGTGTATCGAACAATACTGCCATGTTTGAATGAATACTCCAGAAAAATTTATACATAACTTAATACTTGTTTCACAAAAATCTAGAACATTTAACACTTCATGAAACAGTACACAAAATACAGTAGAACCACAGGATAACCGAAACGGTTCCATAAATTAATGCAGGCCTAAAATATTAGTACAAAAGTATAGTACAATACGTAATATGTAAAGCGAGGTGTAGCGCCGAGCCCCTCTCTCTAGAAAGAATGCCTACGTGACATATCGGTATTGTACGGCGATGCGTGAGACGTTTGACGTGTCCTAGAGATGATTCACCTTCCCTCCCGGCCCCACTTACTACTTCCGGCCAGCGACCTGGCAATTCCCCTTGCCCTCCCATCAGTCACTTTCACAGTTAGTTGTGCTGTTAAAAACCCGTTGCAGTAGTGTACTGTTTGTAATTAGAAAGTGTGTACTGTATGTTGCCGGGTGTTTTTATGTGAAGTTGTGTACCGTAAAGATGTGTGTGTGTGTGTGTGTGTGTGTGTGTGTGTGTGTGTGTGTGTGTGTGCAGGGACGCCCCGAGGGTGGGGCGAGTGGGGCGACCGCCCTAGGCGCCGCGGCTTTGGAAGGTAACAATTAAACAACGTTATCGGCAAACCGCAAACAAATTTTTTTACGGGAAACTCGTAAACATGTAATCAATGACAATGTATATTCTAAAAAAAGCAATATATAGATTTTGTTTTATTATTATACAACTCGTGATATTACTACTTTTACGTCTGGCATGTGACTTGTTGGCAATACTGCGAGTCCGAGACAACACTGACACACACTGCGTAGTGCGTATTCGCCCACACGCTCCACCTACACTTGCTTGTTTCTAACCTCAAAGCTCAAACTCTTACGTCAACTCATAGTTGTTTCGTGATGTGAGTCTTAAATTCTACGTTTTTAGTAATTTAGTTCAGTGTAGTTGTTATGTTTATAAAAAATATTTGCAAAACAATCGATATGAATATATTGGACGTTGAGTCTATTGACGCAAGCCCCCCAAATCTTTTTTGGGGAGGGGGCGAAAGTTTAAATCTCGCCCCGGGCGTCTATTACCCTTGGGGCGGCCCTGTGTGTGTGTGTGTGTGTGTGTCTGTTCCATGGCTTCAGAGTGAAAATGTCTGGTTATCTCTTAATATAAGCAGCAAGTAAATTAGCTGCTATCAAACAAGTTGAAGAAGGTTGTTTACTAAAGACTGTTGCGGCTAATTAGGGAGTTGGTGTGTCTACAGTCTGTGAATGGGTTAAATCTAAACCTAAGTTTTTAGAGCAGCCGTGAAAAATGGTAACAATAAAACTTTGATGACATCAGAAGAATGGTTTTTATAAGTTTGTGCCACAAGTTGAAAAGTTTTTAGCTGAAAAAGGTTTGCCGAAAAAAGATTTTTATTAATTGATAATGCGTCCTCGCATCCCAGCAAGTTAAAAAGGGCAATATTGAATTATGCTTTCTTCCGCCTAATATTCAGGCTATTTGAAAGTGCATATTTATCATAAAATATTATCAATAGTGGCTATGGCATGATTATTTCAGTATTTGTTGGTGGGAGTGTTGCATGACGTCCAAGTGCCACGACATCCAATGATATTATTATTCAGTGCCACGACGTCCAAAACATAATTTTTGAGTTGTTGCACGACATCCAATACAAAATATTTGACTGTTGCACGATGTCCAAGTGCCACGACGTCAAAAAGTACAGTAACTTCAACAAAAAAGTCTTTATACAAGCTTTGGACATCATGAAATTGGACGTCGTGCAACAGCGCACTTTATACTTTTGAAAAACTTAGCATTAGCACCACGTCCAAAGCTCTGTTAAGCCAGGTACACGACGTCCAATAACTCAGCCCTGTTGCATGATGTCCAAAGCAATAAAGACAGTAAAACAGTCAAAAATTATATTTTGGACACTGAATAATATTATTGGACGTCGTGCAATGCATCCTTGTTGGTTAAGTTGTCGTCACTATCGTCAGCTAATAGAGTGGTGCAATCATCAACACCAATTGCTCCACCATCTTCAACAGAAGACAGAAGGCAAGCTTAATAACGACTGGATCAAATAAATTATTCATTTTGACTCGACAAAATTATTAGAAACATTAATAATAGTTAAAAGTCACAAGATTATTTTATTTTATTCATAGAGTTCTTTATTTGACTTTGTTTTGTACGAACTAAGGAAATACAGAAGCAACACAAACAGCAGAACAGCACTGAATGTACGACTCAAACATCAAACTCAGTCAAGTTCACTCTAACTGTTTGACTCAGTGCAGTCCAGCTGAATTATAGGCCTAATATTTGTACTGTATTTCCAATGGTTAAATATTGGAGTACTCAGGATTTTGACAAATCATATTGCATTCGATCTGTAACCACTGTGATAAATGGCAACAAATTTCAAGTTAACGGGTAAATGAATTTTTTGATGGATGAGACTACATGGCTACATGACAACAGCTAAGCCTTCATTCAGCAAACAAAAAGGGCTTTTATTTGTTATTGTTTGCATGTTCAGTGGTTCGTACTTCATTTTGTTTTTGTCTTTCTCGAACGATATGAGAATGTTTAAAATGAAGTTTAGCGTCGTCCGTCTAATTTCTTCAAAATTGAAGAATTGGCCTTTGTTTTGCCAGATTTCTAAAATAAAATGTATACGTTGATGTGAATAATTAAACTTGTTTTGTGTGTAAATAATAAGTGAAAGTGGATTGGTTTATTACAAGAATGTAGAAGTAGGCCTAACTTAAGTTGTTGTTTTTGGTACTAATTTGTCATAAATTCTTATTAATGGCTTCCTAAGTTTGGAAGTATTTTAAAACTGATAAAAAACAAAAGATTTGCAAAATAAAACATATTTAATAGGCTTATATCTAGAGTTGGGGGGTCTAAAATCACTTTTAACCTAAACCCACAATACCGGTACAGGCACTAGGCCTACAAAAAAACCAGCTTATATCTAGAGTTGGGGGGTCTAAAATCACTTTTAACCTAAACCCACAATACCGGTACAGGTACTAGGCCTACAAAAAAACCAACAAAGTCATAAACCAAGCCTTTGTTAAACCTTTTTTCAACAAGCCTGCATCTTAAACTGTAACCTAAAATTGAACATGTACTCAGGCCTATTTCAAAAATGTTTTGTTTAAAACGTCCTAGAAAGTTAACAGACAGTTAAAAAAGTTAAAAGCTAGAACTTAACAGACAGTTAATTTAGTTTAACAAATTTCCAGAGCCCCTTTTATTACCAAGGTTAGTAGTCTATGTTAAATTTTAAATTTATATAGGCCTACACTTCTGATATGGTAAATATTGTTTTGTTTTGAATGTGTTTGGTTGTCAAAGTGTTGTTTGTACAAATAGGCCTAAGTTTTATTTTCTTAATCGCTTAATACAACCAACCTAAACTAATGAAAAAAAATCAGTTTTAAAAATTTAAATAACTTAGGGATATTTTGTTTTTAAAATAAAACAATTAAGTAGCCTAATTTAAAATGAGGTACCGATGGTACCGGAACCGGGAACAAGAATCGATTTTGGTTAGGAACCGGTACCAGGACCGACATTGAAAAAGTGGTACCGACCCCTCACTAGTCGTCGCCGATGATGCTGACGAACTAACCGACTAAGATATTGTAGAAGCATTTTGCAACCAGCTGACAGCACAAAGGAAAACACAGAAGACGATGTAGATGACGGAATCGGCAAAGTGACACCCGATGACAAAATTAATGCAGCAATTTTAATAGAGATTTCATTTAGTAGAGATTTTGGTACTTTGGTATTATACGGAGGCCACTTATTTTACAGTACGTTGAGGTGGTTATGTTAGGTTGGGTAGGTAATCACAAATATGTTTGTAGTACTTTACTCGTTTTGTTATTAATCGAACGATAACAGATGAGTCATATTTTTTATTTTATGATAACTCAACCTAACATAACCGCTGCAGTGCGCTGTATAAGACTGGCCTCCGTATAATACCAAAGTACCGAGATTTTAAACAAGTTAAATTACAGCCACTTTTATTATTGAAGGTTGCCCTAAAATATGCAAAATAATGCAGCGAGTCAACGCCTACTAAATTATTACAATAATATTTAAGCCATTAAGTTAAAAATAAATTCTCTACAATTAAATCCTTTGAATAGAATTCTTTTAATTACAAGATGGTGGGACATCACAAATCAAAAACAATGTGAAGGACTTACCAAAAAGCAAACAAAAATCACTGATTTCAGTGATTTCTGTAAAATGATTACCTAAGTAACTTTAGTTGTTTAGATTAAAGTATTATCTAACCCATTGTAACATTTTTGTAGCTGAAATTAAACACTGTATTATATAGACATTGTTTTAAATTCATTTTTTCTACACACCGTGATTGTTAATGCATAGTCTATTTTTAGCATATAGCGGGTTAACCGAAAAATTGGTTATCTGAAACGGCTCTCCATCCTTTATTTCAGTTAACCCTGGTTCTACTGAAAAGCACAAACACTAAAGAGAAATATATAATTTTTTTATTTGAAAATTGTTTTTAAGTAAAATGACTCATCAGCTGACCTTGAATTTTCAAGTGAGCAACCAACATATTTTGAGACGGATGGCACTACAAAGGACCTCGATCGACCTTATTATGACCGATCAGCAGTTTGAGTATCAATGAACTTAACAATGTTTTCTGTCTGGGATAGTTTAGTTCTTTAAGTACCAAACTACTGTACATCTTACACCCTGTTGAGAAAAATTATCAAGCTTTTCACAGTTTTTAACATAAGGTGCACTATCAATAGTAGGCCTACACTTAAAAACAAAAGTAACTAGGAAATAATTATATATCTACGATTGGCTCTATAAGTTTACGTTTAGCAGTAACCATACCAATTGTTCAAACTTGCTTACCCTGTAGCCTTCCAGATCTCGCATTTGAATTTGCAAAAGTGATAAATCACGTAAAATTTGAATATTGTCTTTTTCCCATTTCAGAGCATTGCGATAACATTTTATTGCTTCATCATATTTCTTGTCTGACCGTTGCAAGAGTCCATACACGTGCCAACACACGTGAGATCGCAAGTCATTACGCAGGCCACGCCGAACATACTCGTATGCTTCTTCTTTGCGCCCCAAGCAATTAAGTGTCAGACCTTTCATTGCCAAAGTTTCTGTAACAAATATGAACTGGGCATATTCATTCTATTCAATTTTTTACCCTGATTGTATTTTGAATTAGTTCAGAAAAAACTCACAAACTTATTAAGAACACCCTTAAGTTAAGAGTATTAAACAGTCTAACTACGATTCATAAACATAATTTAAATATTAACATGTAGAATAATTTGCAATAATACTTAACATTAAATTAAATTAATTAATTACATACCACCATGTTCAGCAAACTTGGGATTTGATAAGATTTGCTTGGCAAACTTCAATCCATTCTTATACTGTTTCTGCTCATAGCATTTCTGAAAAATAACAATACCGGGTAGTATAAAAAACATAATTTCAAACATTAGATTAGCTATTGTAACACGGATTCATATAACTAAAAATAACTAGCCCTAATAGGAAAACATTTATATGAACCCTAGTGAGGTGCAGGGATGAGAGCGGCGGACGTGAGACTGCTAAAGATCAAAGTCGTTTCTTACTGCATTTACAGGGCTGTGTAGAGTAGAGCGCCGCCACCCACGCCATCCTACCACCCTTGATCCCGTCTCCGCTCCTTGATTGACATCTATATTTTTTATAAAAATATCTTTCTTAAATTGCTTTTAAAATGCATGAATAGTTTTTTTCACTAAGTATTAATTAGTCTATTTTAAATATAGGCCCTAGACCTACCTATAGTATGCACCTGTGCTCTTGCAAATCCATAAAACCGACGGTAAAAATCTAAAATAGTTTTAAATTTCAAATACAGTTCCCTTTTTTTAGCCAACGGGAATTTTAAAGGATTTCTCAAGTTTTTAATTTGTACCATATTTCACAGATTATACCCTCTAACCAACAAATGACCATGATTCATAATTAATTTTGTCATGACAAATCCAATGAACTATGCAAAGAATTGCTAATTTTTATACTTTTATAAATGCCCACACTTTTGTGTACCTGTTTAGCCTGGGGTAAATACAGTAGGTCCCCCTCTTAATGGGCCCTAAAGGGATTGGACCTAGGTTGGATAACTCAAAAGGTTGGTTAAACGAAGCATCCCTAAAAACTTTAAAAAATGAAATGCTGTAGCCTACATTTGGAATTATAAAACATAATTCTGAAGAAATTCATGAATTGTCTGATTACAAAATAAACTAAACTTAAGATATCTCCTTTTTTTCTTAAGTAGATAAATGAGTGAGAAACAAACCCAAAACACGGTAAAGTCAAATACTTTCTGTGGCATAAATTAGGCCTATAGTTGTAGGCAATAGGCAAGAGTCCATAAAACTCTTATTTTAATAGGTACCTTTATTAATATTAGTTGATGCTTTCCAAATCCATCGTAATACAGTAAAAAAGAACATATTATCGAAATTTAAATTACAAGCAACCGTTTCATTACAAGACAGGATGTGTATTTACTATATTTATAGCCTATAACATCCTGTAGAGTATAGCGTATTGTTCCCATCGCAGAGTGTGGGAGTGGAAATGTTGAGATTTTTAGAAAGCGGCTGTTAAACCGAACTGCTCTCAAAACAAGGTCTGATGAAACCTACTTTCAAGAAGGGTTTAAGATATCAGCACTGCCCGTATCGACTAAGCTTCAAGAACGACTTCCCTGGATTCACGTTCCATGCTCCCGAAGAACCACTGGCCCTCTACTGTATCCTAAGGGTACTCCGTCCAAACTTAGCCTCGTCGATTTCCACAACCGAGTTAGGCCTGCCGAGTTTTCCAAGCACTGGATTGCATGATGAACGAGGACTTTGCTCAATAGAACGAGAACCAATCTGTGTTGGTGCAACTTAGCAACCCCTCAGTTCTTAGTAAAGTAGCTGTGTTTCGGTGATTTCAGCCAAAGATAGGAGGTAACTAGTTTCATGACAGTCCTCAACAAAATACGAGCATTGGCCAGGAACATGTTTTTCAACGCCACAAGCTTCCAGTTGCAACTTGTAGGCTTCCTCTCTAGGAAGTTGAATGCTCACGTGGTTGCACCGGAAAAGCAACGTTTCCCAGTTAAGCAAATATTTCCGCCCACATTTCTCGCACTACGCCACATTGCTGAAAACACCATGCCAAAGGAGATTTAGCACCCCCATCTTTTCTCATAAAACAATGTTGAAGTGACTCAACACGCATGAATTACAATGCCCAGTTGTTTACCATTTTTAACACAAATTTAAAATGGCTTCAATCATTGGATGCTACAAAAGGACAAATTTAAGGATTAGGCTAACGTAGTAAAGGCTATTCCACCATCATTCCCTCTCACTGGGACGTACCACAACACGACCCTTTTAGTAGTAGTTTTATATAGGTAGCTTTTAATTATTATTGTGAAAGATTAGTAAAATATGTACCTATAAATGGAAAATATCTAATTTTTTAATGACAAAAGAAAACGGTTTATTGGATAACTTAGGCCTAACTTAAGTTTATTGTCCAGATTTTTAGGAAAATGCATTTTTCTTTGAGAGCAATGGGAAAAGCATTAGGTAGGTCTACAATGGTGATCTGGATATTTAATTCTGGTGCACAACCTCATAACATTTTCAAGATACTTAGGTACCGTAAATATGATCTGTAAGTTTAAGTTAATTTTGATAAAATAAGTTAAGTTATAGCCTACGCTAAGTTGGGTGACACTCATAAACGTCTTGGAGAAGAGAATAAGCTTTGGGGCAAGCACATTTTTTGCCTATGCCATAAAATGCACGAGTACCGTAGGCCCAGCCTCAGTTATCAGTTTCAAAGTTAGGCCCTACCTAACTTAGTTGTGGTGTGTGCAATTAGTAGAAAACTTAAAATCATTTTAAGTTAGGCCTATATTCCTTAACCAACCCAAAGAAAAGACACAAAATAAAATTGTGTTTAATATTAAAAGAGGAACACCAGGTCGGTGAAGATTAGTTTGGGAGTAAGTTAGGTCTATCTTAGCTTAATAAGTTAGGCTAACTTGCATAGTTTCTAAAAAGTCGGATTGGAAAAGAGTAACTTAGGCTACTTATTTATGACTAGCTGTTTGCCCGTTCTACGTACGGGAATCTTGTAGTAGGCCTAAATTTAAACCTTATATTCAGAACAGGAGTTGGTTTGCATATTTAGTGTGCATTTTTCCAGATATGCTGGCAAAACTATTACTGTATAGGAATATATATAAACCTTCGCAAATACAATATCTGACAGTTTCAAAGCCAAAACGAATGCTTCACATTTAAATGTCACCCGATCGTGTTAGTCCATATTTTATATCTAATGATAAAAGGAATTGCTTCATAGATCTATGAGCCCTCAGGTAGGCCTGTAATTGAAAGTTACTTTTCACACTGGTTAAAAGTAGTTAAAAAACTACCTCAACCTCACTACTGCACACGTTTTATTCGGGTTGAAATTTTCATTAAAAAAATTAAATGAAATGAAATAATATTTTATTTCCCATAAATTATATACATATAATTACATTGTAATTTTTTTTACTTAAAATATAATACAGCAAACATTACAACTAGATAGGTAACAAAACAAAAAATTATATTCTGTAGAAATAAAGCCAAAAAGTGAAAAAAATACATTCTAACAAAGGAAAAAGTCTACATAGGCAGGGCCTGTGCGTAGACTCGAGTTGCGAAAAGGTTAATTTAGATGGGAGGTAAAAAAATGAATAGGAAAACAAAAAATAATTCGTATAATTTTAAATAAAAAAAAAATGTTCTTGCTTGACAAAGGTGCTCTTGTCTTTTCCAAGAAACACTGAGAAATAAGGACATTAATGCTTTACCAACAGACATACACACACAATAGCAGAATTGAATTAGGGGATTTGCTACGCTTTAACCAAAGTAAATTACAAACAAAATAATTATTTGAAAGTTTTGATAGTGTCATCAAATGTTAAATGATAATCGTTTTTAGGCCTAATCAAACTGTAAAATTTGTGTAAATCCGTTGGCAAATATATAAATAAGTAAATAAATACACAGTCCACAAAAAAATTATTCGTTAACAACGCCAAGCTTTAAAAATTCATGATGGTTTGCTAAAAAATCTTTCAATAATGTTTTATCATTTCATAGCATAAACTAACATTTTGGTTCTAGACAGAAAACGCAAAAATTATACAGTAGGACATCAATTAAATTTAATAAGAAATAAGGTGCAGCACTAACGATAACTATAGTTGTAAATAGTGATGTGTTTCTACATAAAAATGATTCTTACTGCTACCACCGGTTCTAAGGAAAAGTAGCTGTACCATAAACCAACGTTTACATTTAAGAAAATAACTATAGTACTTACAACCAATTCAAACTGCCCTTCTAATCAAACTGTTTTATATAGGTGTTAATCCGTTAGCAAATATATAAATAAATAAATACACAGGCCACAAAACATGTAACATGTAACGTCAACAACGTAGCTTAAAGCTTTAAAACTCACTATGGTTTGCTAAAAAAAAACTTTCTCTTGGATGTGGTGCAGTACCGAAGTTATTAATCTCCCTTGGTTTTAAATTTCTTTTAAGTTTTAAAGAATCAAAGTTTTTTCCAATTAATAGCATTATTTGTAAGCAACTTTCAATGTTAACATATTAATGACAGTTTGAAGAAACCACCTTTATCCAAACAAAGGTTTCTTATGTAAAAGATTACGTAATCTCTCTCTAAACGATAATTGGTACATATATCTAGCAAACATTCGGAGGAAATGTGACAAAAAACGCACAAATCTGGGGTTTTGGACGTTTGTAGTTTTACTTCCTAAGTAGGAAAAGTACCGATATCGTTGTCGAAATGTAAGTAGTAAAAACCAAAAGTGACACATTGGAAAAGCGAATTTAGCTACATCTGTAAGTTAAACCTCTGTTACGATCACAGCAAAATCAGAAAGATCTACCAAGATCGCAGCAACATCCACGATCACCCAGCCACCCACTGCAGTTGTGATTTTTAACTTTGCACTTTACACAACTGTCCTTGAAGCGCCGTCAATGAGTGGAAACCTTTTTTGTAAGGCACAACGTTTTTTATCTCACTTGGTTTGGATGTGCTAACAAAACTTGATCAGAAATGGTTGCGGTATTTGTAAACAACTTTTACTGTAAACATATCAGCGACAGCTAGAAGTGATAACTAATCCAAACAGCTGATCGTTATTTAATCAAATGTAATAGTAAACATTAGGAGAAAATTTGACAAAAATCGAACAAAATTGGGTTTTTGATAACACATTATTTTGTTTTCAAAGAAGCGAGGCCAGGTTTTTATAGCCAATGACAATCTCACCAATTCAGTAAATACAGACAAATGTTTAGAACCTTGATCGGTACTCTAGTTTTTTTAAAATGACATTTTGAAGTTACAGACGCAACCACAGAATGGACAAACAGACATACAGACAGAAATATAGATAAGACTCGTTTCGGCTTTCTTAGTCCTCCGAGTTTTATTTGTCGCTGCAGCGACACACAACACACTTTGTGTCAGTGTTTTGTGTCGCTGCAGCGACTCACAAACACTGTTTACGGCGAAGGCTCTATGACTGACAAAATCGGATTGAACTGGATCGAGTTAGGTACCGGTATCGTTTTATTTGACAGATTCAGAGCTTTCTCCGGAGGTCTGTCTCTAAGCGCTATTCATTTTAGTTCCGAAAATATTGTAGCAGACAGCTGACGTGCGTATTTGTAAACAGCTTGGTTAACCTCGGACCGATGACTGATGTGTTTTATTAAGTTTATCATTGTTTTAGTGTTAAAAATCAAAAGTAGTGATATACGTGGTGCATTGTAAGAAGATTTAAGTGATTTTGAAGGGCTGGTTGATGATCCTGAAGAAGTAGGTAGTGATATTGATGTAAATTATCAGCCAGATTCCTAGCTATGGTTAGGCTATGTATTCTTAGCTAAACGCTATGTACTGAAATCTGTTTTTTGCCCATAACTTATTTATTTGCAAATCTACTTCCTTATATTATTATATAGGCCTATTTGTAATCCTCATAAAATTTAGAACAAAGTGGTTATTTTCAAATATTTATAGGCCTATAATTTATACAATTTCATTGAGCGCAAACTAATTTTTTTTTTGAAAATTTTCCAAAATATTTTTTTTTTACCTAAAAAAATTTTTTGAAACAAATGTTCCTTATGTTCTATGTATAATATTGAAGCCCATGATTTTCCAAACAAAATGGTATATAGAACAGTATAATTAACATTGTTTTCAAGCTTCTCAGATCTGTTTTAATAAAACCTTGCAAATGAGCAAAAAATAGGCAGACATTAAGGCCAAAACAAGTGACACTCGCAGGGTTAAGCTATGAAACGTCAAAATAACCAAAAACTGCATGATTCTAAGCAATGTACAGACAAAACTGTAATTTTATTTATATAGATACTTCTAGGGCCTATGGATTTAGCAGAAAAAAAACACAATGTATTAGTGCCAACAAACTTCGTGGTTACCAAACTAATGTAAGGCTTAGACCTACCAATGTAACTAAAATTGTACTTGATTTGCATGGTAGGTTTATTCCTAAGTGAAAATACTGAAGTGTTGGGGCACTTCCTAGCCTAAATTCTGAGTTTAAGTTTATTCTCATCCTTCACTCATATTTGGGTTAAAATACGCACATAGTGGCGTCCCCATCTTAAATAATTGATAATTGATAATTGATAATTGATAATTGATTGATTCATATCTCAGAATTATTCAAAGAATAATAATGGCACAAATAAAAATAATTAAACATGGGATTGTTTAGATTGTTGACTATCAATAACCAGAACTAGCTGATATTATTAATTTGGTGCTTCAGTAAAACCTAGCCTAACTTTTAATAGCCCACAATATTTGATGTATTTTGAAGTATTATAAGGCTCCATTGGTTCTATTAACTCTAATGCTTCTTTTCTTAATAGATAAATGTCTTAACAATTTCAGTGTATGACTTAAAAAACCTTAAAATAGAATCGAGACCAATCATATAAAAAAAACAAGAGGGTTATGTTTCAAACCGAAACTGGTGGAGAATCCATTGCTTAGTGATACTGTAAATTATAAAAATTATTTTTATTGTTATTTAAATTGACTTCCAACTTACCAGTATTCGTTTGAAAAGAGAGTTTTCCTTTGGGGGTAAAGGATTACTAGAAGGCATTTTAATTAGGTAATTTACCCAAACACCGGAAAAATCACAAAATAACTCCTTGACACAACCTCGTGGCTATAGCCAAAGATGGAGTCGCGTCACGTGACCTAACGACTGCGCCTGATATCAAGGTCGGGTGTTCTGCAAATCATCAAACTGAAGCGTATGGTAAATTTATTGAACTAGCGGTATATACAGCCCATTCGGTACTATACAAATTTAATATTTTAGATTAGGAGATGGAGATATTTTCACATAATTTTAAAGCATCATCATATAGAACAAGATCCAACATCAAAAAGTATAAAGTATGCTCCAGAATACTGCATAAAATTCTTGACTTGACTGACCGATCCAAAGGGCAAAGATCAAATACTTCACATTATAAGCATTGCAATACAAATAGATTCAAAAATACTTTATAGGCCTAGTTTGTACTTTATTTCAATGACTAGCTGGCTGTACCCGTGCTTTGCAACGGGAAGAGGACACAAAATAGAAACACTTTGATCTTTACATTTGTTGTATAAAAAAGTTGCACATCCACCAACGCTTTTAGAAACAAAATTCGGCTGCACTTTAGTATCAATTGACATAAATTAGAAAAAAATCTATAATGAAGTTTTATATTAAAATCAATAGTACTGCACCCTAAACCTTATAACTTGTTAATGCCATTTAATATCATAGAACCAACTTGTGTAATTGAAACAGCTGACGAAATGGTTTTATTCCTTTTAAATATGATTACTCATAAGGCTAACATGGGAAACTCAAGAGCCACTGGGGCGGAGCCCGAAAGGACTTTTGAGATAAGAATGCGTCTATATGTTAATCGGGAATGTGAGGTATCATCACACCAAATTTCAGCCCAATCCAATCAGTATTTTTCGCGTTTACTTGTCACAAACATACATAGGTACATCCACACATTAAAACTTTCTCATTTATAATATAAGTAGGCATGGTAGAATTATTGCTTGTTATAGTGTGTAAGGGTTCTGGCACGGCCACCTTTTTTTAGGTAGCTGTGGTTCTGGTGATAGCCTTTAAATAATGAAATGTGAACATTCGCTATAAGTACAACAATCCCAAGCTAGGATGATTTTGTACCCAGACGACGAGCGCGAAGATGCCACCACGCCAAGGAGCCACCGAAACAGCGTGCCAACTAAAAAAGAAGTTTTAGGTGATGGATTGCGTGGTAGCCCCATGTCAGAGTGGCACATACGCGCAAGCGTGCACGACAACCCACCACTAAGTGTGGGGTGGCAGTTTGACATGGTGACAATTTGTCAGGGTGGCGCCTGGACGTGAGATTGCGCCATTGCACGGCCACCTTTAACTACAGGCCCCGGCCTGGTGGAATTGCCAACGTCGCAAGGGGTGTTGTTTAGTGACAGTTGTACCATAAGATAAAATGGCAGACAGGTGACATCAGCTCATTTGATTCGCACTTCATTGATTTAAATTTAAATTTAGGAACATAAATTTATTAAAATATTGAAAATAAAACATGCAGAATAGAAAACCGAATCAATATGAATTAAAAATCTATATCTGTATATTTTTAAGCGGATTAAATATTGTCATAGTCTAGTAACCAATCCTTCGTCGGAGTCAGCTAATGATATTTGTGTACTTTTTAAGAACACAAAGCTTTGTTACTGGGCTATGTAAGCTATTGACTACACTTTAAATGTACAGAAACATATTCATATTGTTTGGGTTTCAATTCTATATGTTTTATTTCCAATTTATTATTACATTTTATGTTCATAAATTTAAACGAATAATTCACGAATTAATGAGCTGCTGTCTGTCACCTATCTGCCATGTTATCTTATGGGACGTCTGGCACTAAACAACGCTACTTGCAACGTTGCAAATCCTACCAGGCCGAGGCCTGGAGTTGACGGTGGCCGTGCAACTAGTCGTCAGATGAGTCGTCAGCGTACTAGACCACCTCTTAAGTTCAATAATATATGATACATTTATAACAATACATTTCAATAATATATAATACACATCCCTTGCTGTGTAATACTGTATAATAAGCTCTTATCAAAGATTCTACTTCATCCAAAGCTGGAGAAGATCTAAAATATAGACAAGGTCTCAAAAATGTTTTTTTATATTTCATTTTATTGCCTTTTCCTCTACAGATTTGGCATCAGCAAGTCCTATTATGTGACGACATGTTGTCTAAATACCCCCGCCGCAGCAAACCTGCAGACTAAGCGAATTTCCATTTGCCTGATTGGATTTACACTAAAATGCCTCCTTAAAAGTATCACATTTATTCCCTATTTAAATAACATTAGTTTAACGAGTACTTAGGTTTGCTGCAACAGGGAGGGTAAAAATCTGTTTTCTTGTAAAATGTAATAGTTTAGTATGAAATTAACACAATTTCCAAATTTGATCAAAATATGTTCATAAACAAGCAAACAACAACAGTTTACTTATTCTCCATAAGAATAACATGGGAATTTTAAATTTACAGATTTTTTTTTTTTTAAGTTTCTCCGTAACCATTAGGCGCATATTAACGCTTCAATATACTAAATTATTTGTTTTTAAGCTCTACAAAATGGTTTGGAAAGAAATTGCTAAATTTCAAGTTTTAGGGTAAAAAATGGGAAAACCCAATTTTTACCCCTTAAAACCCCCCATAAACCCCTGTTCCCATAGTTCGATCATGCTGGTTCGTGAATTTGTTCAAATAAACGTAGGCTTACACGTTTTTACCAAATTTCATCAAAATCGGATCATTTTTGCTCGAGTCATCGTGCTAACGTACACATATAAATATATATATATATATATATATATATATATATATATGAATTCAAACGGATGGTGTTTTTGGTCTCTAGGGACCTCAAAACAAAAATGCAAATCGGTGCCGGGTCCAGGTCTTACCATGAGTACTACGGTAATAGCTTATTCCCTATAGGGGAAATCCTCTAAAAGGGAGTTACTATGGGTTTTAATCGATAAATCAAAAAATACCCCCGCCGCAGCAAACCTGCCGACTAAGCGAATTTCCATTTGTCTGAATTGATTTTAAGTTAAATATATTTTAATAACATTAGGTTTAACGAGCACCTAGGTTTGCTGCTACAAGGAAACTAATAAAGTGTGTTTTTGAGTAAAATATTGATAGCTTAGTACAAAATAAATAAATTTGCCAAGTTTGATCAAAATATATCCATAAACAAGCAAACTACAACATTTGACAATATTCTCCATAAGAATAACAAGGGAATTTTAAATTTACAATTTTTTTAATTTTCTCCGTTACTAATAATCGAACAAAAATTCTTTTATATACTAAATTATTTGTTTTTTTTAAGCTCTTTAAAAAGGTCTAAAGAGAAATCGGGAAATTTTGTGTTTTGAGGGTCAAAAGTGAGAAAACCCAATTTTTACCCCATAAAACCCCCCGTAAAGCCCCGTTCCCATGGTTCGATCGTGCTGGTTCATTCACGAATTCTGAATTCTGCTGGCGAACTCATTCAAGTTTATCCCGCTTTACACCTTTAAACCAAATTTCATCAAAATCGGACAAAAATTACTCAAGTTATCGCGTTCACGGACGTATATATATATATATATATATATATATATATATATATATACATATATATATATATATATACATATATAAAATTTGAACGAATGGTGTTTTTGGCCTCTGGGGACATCAAAATGAAAAAGTAAATCGGTCCCGGGTCTAGGTCTTACCGTGCCACCTACGGTAATAGCATAGATAAAACATACTCCCTTAGTAGATTTCTCATCCTTATGGAACAGCTAAAGACAATTTTATTGTTAGTTCATGTACGGTTTATGTAGAGGTCGTGTTTTGTTTACAATTTGTTTCCCGTTATTTTTAAAACCTCGTTTAACCAAATAATACGATCTAATCATAAACAATAACTTGTCCCCTAGATATATAACCAAACAGTAAAGCACAAATCAAGAAATTAACCCTAAAATAATGCAAACAAAGTTTCATCGACACTAGCGCCTTTGTGTCACGTACATGAACTAGACACGAAAAACGTGCTTCAAAATTTACAATGGGATGAGAAGTCTACTTGTGTTGGTTAGTCTATGGTAATAGCATAGATAAAACATACTAATAGCATTGAGTATAGACCTGCTAATAGCTACTTCCCTATAGGGAAATTCGCTAAAAACCATTGACTCTGAGTAGAGTGTATTTTATCAATCTTTAACCGAGTCTTTTCAATACAACATTTTATAGTATTAAACGCATATTTTTTCAACAGATAATAATAATGTTTCCTTTTATTAAAGCACTTAATAAGCTATACGTAATACAATGTGTGATTTATTATAGTACATATAAAAGCAGATTTCAATACTAATTTTCATAGATCTGTATGTTGGTAGCTTTGAAGAACTGTCATTTCATTTTTTCTTTTCATCTGTCATTCCTTAATGTTCAATGTTGTGGTTGTGTCAAAATTCAGGAAAATGAAATAAAAATCTCACAATTAATTATGTAATTTTAGAAATATGTTTAAAATCACTCAGGAAATAGTTTGCTTGTTTTAACCATTATACTTGACAACAATATCATTGATGCTGTTTGGATCTACTGGTAAGGAAAATTAACTTCAGAGTAGTCCTTTAAGTTATCCATTTCAACATCTGCTTAATTTTCCTTCTGATGTCTAGCCTGTATCATAATCTATTAGAAAAGTAGCCTAATTATAAACTCTTGGAAGAAGAAAGCTATTTGAAATAGTAGGCCTAAGTTTATGGTTGAAAATGACTTGAACCACATTGATGTGAATCTGCCAATACATAGCTCACCAATAAATAGTGGAGCGTGGGCCAGTGTGCCATATGATGTCTATTGATGGTGCTATTCCGTCACAATAGGCCCGCGTAGTATAAGTTAAGTTAATACCGGTACACATATAGTCATGTTGTAAAGGATATGTTTACGCATAGCAATACACCAATGTTGTAACTGAGGAACGATTAGAGGGGGTCAAGAAATTGAAAAGAGAAAAGTGCTCACGCATAAATTTATTGACGAATATATCCTGGAACAATAGGCCCCAGTACAGTGATATACATGTGATAAAGAACATGTTCACGCATACACCAAAGTCATAACTCAGAAACACATTAGAGTGACTATATGTATGACTGTACTCCGTCCTTTTGTCCCGGAATTTTGCACGAACAATTTGTGACTTTTCACCCCCTCTAATGTGTTCCTGGGCTACGATGTTGGTACCTACTCTGCTATGTGTGAACATGTCCTTTATCACGCGACAATATGTGTATCATTGTATCGGGCCTATCGTGGCGAAATAGCACCAACAACAGACATCATATGGCACACTTCACTATTTATTGGTGAGTTATTAGCTTCACACAATTTTGGACCACTGCTTAAATTTGCTAAGTGGTACAGAAGCTTCTAAGTTATTTAGGCATCTGGTATGTGCAAAATATTTCCACGGTAAAAAAAATGCTTTAATTTACAGTTTGACCGATAGTTTTTGAGTACCGTACGGAAGCATTAGGGGATTCTTCCTTTCTCTTTCACATACACACACATGCACACGTAAGTTACAATCAGTTAATAAATATTATGATGAAATGGAAAATCAACGTTTCATAATGAATTCATTAGAATAACAGTCAGTTCCGTAATGGAGGAGGAATAACAGTTTTGCTCGGCAACGGTTAGTCGTCGTTTCATTCCGGACTTATCGATATCGGCGTTAACATGTTAACTGCGTGACACAAGTGTCTCCCAGTGCTGAGATTTTGTCGCCCAGTTGCTATGGGTGGTGCCGGCATATTTTTTAATGATTCACATTTTAAATCTATCGGAATTAACAAAGTATTTAGTAAATAGGTAACATTTTGTAAATATTTTAGAGTTGAGCCCACGAGGTTGTAAAGGGATTCTTGGCCTGTTACAACGTTCTAGAATACGTAATTAAGTGAGATTATAATGACTATTTAAAAGCAAATATAATAGAAAAATTCATTAAAAGATAGAAATGTGTGATTTTCACTATAATTTATGCACAAATTTCCGGGAGAGAACCCCCGGACCCCCCCAGTAAGTCCGCCGCCACTGTCGCCCAGTGGAAATGCCTTAAAATATGCTCTGTATCGGCGTGGAGTTCTGTATTAAGTAATTGATATATAACTGGTTACGATAACCTGTTATCGCTCAGTAACGTATTAGTGATAACCTAATATTGATATATAACTATAATTTGCATCTCTGGACACGAGCGCCTTTAATGTGGTTCTCTTCTATTTGTTTGTACACATTTTTGCGTTTATACTAGTTTTATAATAGTATTTTCTCATCTCCGCTAGTTTTATTCCTAATTTAGTTGGTTTTAACACCGCAACACCAAATTTATTCAATTTAGTGACAATGAGTTAGAACAGAATAAAATTTAGTTTTAATGAAATTAAAAAAATAAGTTCAGCACTTTTGGTGTTTGTCATGATTTGACGAGATGTAGAGACTAATTTACATACAAGAGCTTTAAAAGCCACTAAGACCAATGCTGCTTTTTCACTCATGATGTTAAACAATAAGAATAATTGATTGTTAGTTTAATCTTTAAATATTTTTGTTTTATAAAGCTTTTACTTCGGGTAACAGCTTAAAAGTACCGGAACCGGTAATGAAAAAATAATTTTTGTGTAACATAAACAGTACTGTTCTAATTTGATTTTCCGTTCATGCAATATTCCACACCCCCCAGATTTCAGAACCCTGAGTTTAAAATCCAAATTTATGTTCAAACAATATGGATATACTAGCAGAGTACCTGTCCTTCGTACGGGGTTGGCATATTAGTATAAAATGCTTATTGCAGTTATACTCAAGCTTTGTGTTTGCAATGGGGGAGAACACAGTTTGATACAATTTGCTTCTTCAAATTTACAGTATACTAAAGTATTACATGGTATTACTCATCTACCATAGCCATGATGTTCTACCACTTATCCTAAACAATAGAGAAAAATATATTATCAAACATTCGCAAAATATCACACATTATTCATTAAATTAAAACATAAACACAACTGTAAACAATCCTACTTTGACAGTTCTCATTACATATCACAGTTATTTGTTGCTGCTTGGTTCAAATTAGCTTATTTAAAGTTCATTGTGTAGCCACTGAACTGTTGATAAGACTAATATTTAAGGTAGGCTATATCTTAAATAATAGGCAAATTGGCTGTTTTCATAAAAATGCAAAAAAAAACACTAATAGTGCTGCACCCTGTTAGTAAATCTTATACTTGTTAATGCTTTTGCATAGCATAGAACCAACTTTTTAAGTTGAAACAGCTGACTAAATCCTTTAATTCCCTTTAAAATATGAATACTCATAAGGTTAAGATGGGGAACTACAGAGCCACTGGGGCGGAGCCCAAATGGATTTTGGAGATAAGAATATGCCTATATGTTAATCGGGAATGTGGGCTATCATCATGCCAAATTTCAGCCCACTCCGTTCAGTAGTTAATGCGTGATTGAACTTCAAACAAACAAACAAACAAACAAACAAACAAACAAACAAACAAATACACAAACTTTCACATTTATAATATTACTAGCTGTAACCCGCGGGCTTTGCCCCGTTTAACTTCTTAATTTTCAAGATGATCTCGTTCGCATGGCTCAATCACGTCCTAGTTGAAGTTTGTTCGCTACTCTCACTCACCTTTAGGTTGGAGCTCGTTCGCTGCGCTCACTTGCCTTCAGGTTAGCTCGTTCGCTACGCTCACTTGCCTTCAGGTTAGCTCGTTCAATACGCTAACTCGCCTCCAGGTTGAAGTTCGTTCGCTATGCTCACTCACGTTTTGGTTGCAAATTAGCTGTTGTCATAAATGTAAAAGAAATAATAGTGCTGCACCCTGTTGGTAATCCTTGTAACTTTAATGCTATTGAACATCATAGAACAGAACCAACTTGTTTAATTAAAACAGCTGTTAAGATTCATTAATTCCATTTCTCATAAGGTTAACATGGGAAACTCCAGAGCCACTGGGGCGGAGCCGATTGGACGGATCACGAAATTGATGGTGTATAAACCTATTCCATGAAATTCTACACGTATGTACCAAGTTTCGTGGCAATAGGTTCAGCGGTGTCTGAGTCTATCACTGCCAAATATATATACAAACATCCTCTTTTATACTTATAGATATACTAGCTGTACCCGCGGGCTTTGCCCCGTTTAACTTCATAAGTATTCGCGTGGCTCATTCACGTCCTGGTTGAGGTTCGTTCGCTACGCTCACTCACCTTTTGTTTGGAAATTAGCTGTTGTCATAAATTAAAAAAAAATAATAGTGCTGCACCCTGTTGGTAATTCTTGTAACTTTTATGCTATTGGACATCGTAGAACAGAACCAACTTGTTTAATTGAAACAGCTGTTAAGATTCATTAATTCCTTTTAAATATGAAAAATCATAAGATTAACATGGGGATCTACAGAGCCACTGGGGCTGAGCCCGAAAGGGTTTTTGAGATAAGAATATGCTTTAATGTTAATCGGGAATGTGAGCTATCATCATGCCAAATTTCAGCCCAATCCGTCCAATAGTTTATGCGTGATTGAGCAACACACACACAAACACACACACAAACTCACAAACTTTCAGATTTATAATATTAGTAAGATATATATATATATATATATATATATATATATATAGTAAGATAAGATTATTTACATTTTTTGTTGCAGTGCCAGTGTAAGAGAAAAGTAGTTAGTGTTGGTTAATGAATTGTTGCTCCAATGAAATTTGTGTCCCTGTCACTGTAGATAAAAACATACTCCTCTTTAATGCACTAGAAAAGCAGGCAGAGGAATGCACCTTTTTCGGATTTTGAGACTAAGGTGGGTTTTCCTAGCTGCCGAGTACGGCTGTGTGTTTTGGCTCTGACTCTTCACACAATTGTCAAGTACTGGTACAGCCCTTAAAACACTAGAAGCTCACCTGACATTCACAACTCCGCAGCCATATTTGGCAGCTAGGAAAACCTACCATAATAATTTACTGCATTTATGTCAAATCTTCAATGAAGATTTTAATGCTTTTATTTTTGCTCAATACATTTTAAAATTATTTTTCTCGCTAATGTCCAAAGTTTTTGACTATTTGATATGAATCAACGAGGCTAAATTAAGTTTATGATTTGCAAACATGAACATGCTCTGGTACTTTTATATAGTTTGTTATTCAACTGGTATCAAAACTTGTCATTTAATGATTCATAACACTCTCTTTCAGAACTTTATTGCCAATATGGAGGATTATAAATTTTTATTCAAAGTAGTTCTGGTTGGAAATGCTGGAGTTGGGAAGACTTGTCTAGTTCGCAGATTTACACAAGTAAGTATGTTATTTGTTAGGTATTCGTAAACATACCGGGTGTCCGAAAAATAACTCCCTAGTTTTGATAAACGATTGTTTATTGTAGAGAATACATATTCTTATATCTAATACATGAAATTAAAGAGGGTTTACTCAAGTTTATTTTGACATTAGTACACCTCGATATGTGACCCATTTGTAGCTCTACAGATATCTAACCGGTATTCGATCTCTCTCCAAGTGTTAGTTAACATATCAGGTGTCACTGATACTACTGCAGCTACGATTCTTTGACGAAGAATGGTCAATGTCACGTATCTTTTCTGAATAAACCAAGTTCTTAACGTAACCCCACAGGAAAAAATCCAGTGGTGTTATGTCTGGGCTTCTTGGAGGCCACGCGATCGGGCCAGCTCTCCCCATCCATCTTGCCGGGGAGAGCTGGCCCGATCGCGTGGCCTCCAAGAAGCCCAGACATAACACCACTGGATTTTTTCCTGTGGGGTTACGTTAAGAACTTGGTTTATTCAGAAAAGATACGTGACATTGACCATTCTTCGTCAAAGAATCGTAGCTGCAGTAGTATCAGTGACACCTGATATGTTAACTAACACTTGGAGAGAGATCGAATACCGGTTAGATATCTGTAGAGCTACAAATGGGTCACATATCGAGGTGTACTAATGTCAAAATAAACTTGAGTAAACCCTCTTTAATTTCATGTATTAGATATAAGAATATGTATTTTCTACAATAAACAATCGTTTATCAAAACTAGGGAGTTATTTTTCGGACACCCGGTATAATTGCTTACATCTATCTTCTTCGCCTCGTTACTTTACGATTGGATGAGTTTATAAAATTCATCTCAATAATTCAACTAGATTCTAATAAAGTTCATTTTTAAAACAGCAACCTAACTCAACTAGTCAACATGATTGTTGCAGACTATCTATGGTGGCATTGTTATGTTACTCATAGCTGTGTTACTCCCAGCAGTTTAGTTATTTATACAAATGTGAGAGGACGTGTGTGCAAACTGTGCAGTTTAATAGGGTCCAAAACCTTTATCCGAGGCTAAATGAATCAAGTTCAATGTTCCCTTATTTACCTTTTAGAGATTATGTTTGCTTAGAACAGTTATTTGAATATAACTACTGAATTGTAACTGATTTATCATGGAATAAATGACTTTTGATTTGAATTTAAATTAAATTTGTTGATTTTAGATCTGCACTAAAGAGTGATTTATCTACCTTAATCAGGTCACAGTTGTTAAAAATTAACCTATTTAAATTACACTAGTTGCTCTGCCCGTGCTTCGCTACGGGGTGAGAATAGAGAAAAGAAAAATTCGGTTTTACTGCAAGATACTATAATACTATGAGAAACCGTTACAACCCACTTACCAGGAAACATGTAGGCAAAAGCTCAATCCTGCTTATTGATTATTTAAATTAAGATCTCTTAATGTATTACAGTACTATCATTTTATATAGTGTATAGCGTTTAAAATATATGCAAAAGTATATAATTCATTGACCACATGGCACCAAAAACAATTCTCCTTGTAAACAAATTAAATTAAATAGCAGAACAGCATTTCTGACAACAGCTGTAGTTTAATAACAATGTTTGTTTCCCATGTTAATCTTATGGAGGAATACGAAACTTTAAAGGGACCCAGCACCTCACACTCTAATTATTTCCCTAAAAAGAAAGTTTCCTCCACAACTTCACGTTACGCTCTTTCCAATGACACCAAAAACATGTCAATCGGTTCAGTAATTTCGGAGGAGTAATTGTCACAAAAAACCTGCTTGCGTATTATATAAGTATATAGATTTTCATGAACTGTTTATTCTCTTGTTTACAATCTGACTGTGGTTGCACATTCAACTGAAGGATCTTAACTGTTAAATTATAATTTAGGCTACATTTAAACCGTTATAAAGAAAGTTGGTCATCATAACTGGATCTTTGAAAATGGACTCTATTAATAACTAAAACGTGAGGGGCAAAGCTCTAAAGGAAATTACCTTTTTAATTACCATTCACAGGTACGCTAGATCAGCATTAAAATGGCACCTCAATCGTAAAAATTTGTTTTACAATCCGGCTGGTGGGACCGAATGTTCAATGGGGGAATAAAATATGGTAGTTACAAAACCAGAGAGTGAAAAATATGTAAAACTCGAAGGACCGCCCGATTAGGTCGGGAACCATAGAGCTTGGAAACACCTTAATTAAATGAATGAAGAAAAGAGAGTTACTCACCAATTTCCATTGTTCTGTTAGGCTAGGGGAAGGCGTCGTGTCCAAGCTAGGGTGTTGCACAGAGGGATGAGTCACTAGGGAGAGAGGGATCTTGATCTTGATTAAATTGAGCGTTCACGCCAAAACAAATGTCCTTCAATAAATATCTTCTGTCGCGGTAGACCGTTAAACAATACATTCACGAACGCGCACAAAGAAGTTGTAGAAGAGTAGAGCATAGAGGGGGAGAGTAATTTAGAGCAGCACAAGAGACTATAAACACTAATTTTGATTTAGAGTAATAAAGGGACTTTACTTTAAAACTGAACAATGATACATAAGAGAAAGAGTTATGAAGAGACAATTAATCCAAAACGCCTTTAAGAGAAGCGTGGACAAAAGAGACAACACAGCGGGGACGCTATGGTTGCAAACAAACTCAAAACATGAAGAGAACTGAACAGAGTTCAACGAGAACAAGAACTGAGGCGAACTGAGCTTTCCTGTGAGTACAGGTAAACTCCAAAGGGCAAGGGGCGGGGGAAAAATCATCCGTTGCTAGGCGGAAGTGACGACTAGAAAAGAGATGTTGAGAAAACCCTTATTGTATTAAGTATATGGATGAGGAGACCCGTGCAAAAATGGCACATTTTTATAGGGTTCGATTCCTAAGCAAAATGAATAATGCAATTAAAACATTAAACTGAAAGATCAACTGTTCACTTCTAAACAGTTAATGAAAGCTGATTATCATCACTGAATCTTTGAAAGCAAACTCTAAAAAATCCAACACTAGGGGAGTGAAGCCTTGAAGAAATTACCTTTTTAGTAACCATTCGTCACTTTGCTAGTGTGCCGATTTTTAAATCAAAAGATTTAAAATCCGCGACAGGCAATGGACAAGTCAGTCCAACATGACGTAACGCGGAAGGATACGAACTGGAAGACCGTTGGGAGCCGTGCCGTGTGCAAACGTCTCGTCGTCACTCGTGGCTCAGTAATCGCGTAGTCAACATGTGAAGTCGCGTTTTGTCGCTGGTGTAGGACGAATTTATTAATATCTTAATTCGTAGCTCGGAAATTAGCGTTCGGGCGGAAATTGTACATGCATCAAACGATCGCAATTGTCAAAATTTCGCCGAATTGCATTTGGGGGTGTGTTTTATTAGTATTAAGTCGAGACAGTTGAGATGCCGGATTGATTGTTCGCGTTCGTGATGAAAATTCGTACATGCATCATATCGATAGCAAATGTCAGTTTCTAGCGAATCGCGGGTCGTCGTGACGGTATTTTCAATTGAATCATTAAACGCCAGCTCGAAAAAACAAGAATTAATAAGTCCTACACCAGAAAAAACCGTGTCGTGATATTCCGCTCGGTCAGACAAAAAGTCACAAAACCACGAGTCAGTTTTTAAATGTTCGGTACGCGTGAATCTTCGTCGGAATGAATGTTAATGTGTCGACATGTGTACGTAAGTAAATGTTTGTGTTATTTGTGTTTTAGTATTAAAATAGTCTTGCCAATCTGCCACATTTTTTCACATGTACCACTCGTTTTACAAGTTATGAATCATGTTTTGTTTGGTCTGAGATTTTCATGTTTCATTTGGTCTACTTAGAGCACATGGTCACGATTCAGTATAAAATGTTTTATTAAATTTGGTTATGTCATACAAAGGATTTAAGTTATAATAGTGAACCTAGTCAAATGAAAATTATTTCTTAAATTGAATTGAAATGGTGTATTAATTTAAAGAGCAATGTTTATCTGTGATATTATTATTTTTGTATTCTATGTAAAGTCAGATTCTATCATCGTCAGTATTATTATTTAAAACGTTTGTATTTCATGTGTAGAATAATTTTTGAACAGTATTACATTTTTTAATAGTGAGAGTTTGATTGTGTAACGTAAATGGGGGTAACAGAGTGCTCGGTCGAAGGCTAGGGTTGATAAAGGGTCATGAGGATAGACTCCCATTAAATTCATAAATATTAAATACTAAATAAAAAATTATCAAATAATCGACTCAGCAGTCGATTGGCCCCGTTGCACTGATCAGCAAGGAGTGATGTAGATCACAAACCTACATAATAGTCCCTGTTTGATTAAATTGTAAACTGGCCAGTTTGATAAGTACGAACATCTTTGGGGAGTCTGTGATCCAAAACAAATAAATAAAATCATCAAGGCTAGGTTTTCCCGAGACTTTGCAGTTTTAAAAATGAACAAACCGCCAATTTGAACATTCAATCTTGCAATCAACTCTCTCACTCTCTCTTTCAAAATATTGTTAAATTGTGCACAAAAAAGGTTATTACATTGTTTATATTTGTTACTTGTATCACAGCTCAATTCGACTCATTATACAGTATTTTTACAAATCACCATCTTTTCATTATCCTGTGTTTCAGCTGTTAGTATCATTAGTATAAAACTGGTAAAGTAAAGAGGTAAATGGCTTAACTGAAAGAGGTATACAAAGTATTCACAATGAGTGTTGATGATCACATTTTGTAAATATATTTTGACAGTGCAATTTTTATAAGTTCAGTTCATAATATTTAATATCAAATTGGTGAATTCATAAATAATCGGCTTAACCAAAATCCAGTGTATATAAACATCTTGAAGTCATACTTTTGATAAATATTTCTCTGAACAAACAGTCGATAAATATTTTCAATCAATATTTCAATATTATTATTTGCAATTTTACAGTTTTACAGAGTATCAATTCATATCACAATCTTTCATC